CAGGAGCACAGGGGGAGAGGAGGGTGATGAGAGCACAGAGATGGTGGGAAGGGGTCATATAGGGCCTCACAGGCCAGTGAAGGGTTTGAATCTGTCTATTGGGACACTTGAACTGCCAGTCCATGGTTGCCTTCCTCTGGGACAGGGATTTTCAGAAAAGGAGCTTTCCTTCTGAACTTTACTCCCTCCGCTTGGTCAAACCAAGCCCAGCTGGTCCCTTGCAGGCTGTATTATAATAGCTTCTCAACTAGATTTTCACTGGGGCTGTTGGGAAGAGACAAGGTTTGCCAGTTTAGGTGGAGTCAGGAGTGCTTTACTGATGACAGGCCAGTTGACCTATCTTATACCACATCTTATGGTTCGACTGACAGGGCAGTTGACCATATCTTATGGTTCCTCTAGGAAATGTGAATAGTATGCGTGCCTAGAGCTTTGCATGGGCTTCTTCTTTAAATCTGAGCAAATACATAGGACCAGTCATCCACTGGAAGGCTAGCACCTCTCTCCTGCCTTTACCGAGGGCTTGAAGAGGTGTCAGAGCCCGAGTTTGACCTCAGCAATGTCCCAGAGGGCTCTCTCCTCCCAACATTGCACCACCAAACTTAGGGAGAAGGCAGTGACTGTGTAGAGCGTCTGTCTCTAAAGCTCCCAAAGATGTTGTATGTGGCGGGGAGGGGAGAGTCATAATAATACTGGAGAGGACACTTTTTGTCTTTGGAATAGACAAAAAGGCAGCAAATGGCAAGGATTTAAAAAAAAAACAAAGGTAGAAGTCCTACTGGTTCCCCTAATGGGCTCTTTTTATCCCACCCACTCAATCTCTTCCTGGACTATGGCTGTTGTGACAGCTCATTGTGACACTGCAATGGGTTGTTTTCAGGGTGTTGAGGGGGGATCAGCATTTTCAGCCAGTGCCCTTAATCTGTCTGTTTGGCTGAGTGGTGCTCCTGCCTTCCCAGCCAGTCCTGGTTATAAGAAAGGATTTGATTTAAATGCAAAAATAAATGAATTCCCCAGTCCCTTCCTGCTCCCCTCTGAAGCACAGGTAGCCCTGAGGCTTACTGCAGGGCTTAGCTCACAGAGAGGCTTTTCTGAGAGCAGGACTGTGTCTGAGCTGAACCTGAAAAAAAAAATGTGCGTCTTTGTCAGGCTATTTCATAACATACTTAAAATGTTTTCGAAGTTTGCTCTCAGCCCTCATCCTAATCTCCTGGGCTCCTGCAGGCCGCTAGGCGGAGCTAAAATAGCCCAAGACATTGCACGTTTAGCAAACAGGAGAGATTTCTGAGCTTTGCACTTTGCACTTAAAGCTTGTTCTTGCTCGCTGCTCTCCCCTGGGGCCAGCTGTGACAGCTGGAGGTGATCTGCAGGGCCCCGGGCACCCTGCTCTTGGCCAGTAGGGCTGGCTTTTGTTTTCCGAGAGCAAATACATCATTTTCTTTTGACTGTAGGGAAAAATAAAGTGTTAGGGAATAATCCCGGGAGAGGACAGAGCAATACGCAGCTACTGAGACCAATGGGGCAACAGGGATGAGCTAAGGGCATAAATCAGCTGCCAAAGTTGTGGGGCTATGGAAAAACTGACAAGCGTAGCTGCGCCAAGAGGAAATCTTGCAGCCCTGCGTATGGGCTGTTTGCTGCTTTTGGGACAGCTGAGGGTTGCATTAGCCAGTGACCAGGGGTGGGTCAGATTAAAGGGCTGGTGCCTTTAGCTCCTTTCATAGCTTCCGTTAATGGTTGGGAGGGGTATATGCTTAGATTCACTCACAGGTGCTCAGCTCTGTGTCATGGGCCTTGTAGTGCTCATGGAGTTCCCTGTAGCGTCCATAGCAGAGTTGTGCTTCTAGGGTGTCCAGCATGGGAAGCGCAAATCTGTGGCCATGCTGACCCTGGGCAACGATGTTTGCTAACTTCAAGCCCCCATTCTTGGTTTGCAGATAGCAAAATATTGTGGGAAGTCCTATCTCCCTCAGACAAGCCGGCCACAAGTGACTTCTGAACCCCTGGCATTATCCTGCAGCGAGGAGATAGTACTGGTACTCGCCTCTAGATGGCTGCATTGACCCAAATTAGCTAGAGCTTATGGAAGTCCTTGATTCAGTTTGAGCTGCACTGTCCCAGACGCCCAGAACTCAGGGGAAGCCAAATTCTCAAAGGCATGGAGTAGCCACAGCTCTGGCCAAAGTCAGTGGGAGCTGCACTTCTAACATCCAAGCCCTGAGAAAGTGCAGACTCAGGCTGGGGTGAGCTCTTAGCTGGGTCTGGTATGTATTTTTCCTCCAGAAGCACAGGAGTGAGGTGCATTCAGCTCTCACCTGCCACCCAGAAAGAACAAAAATGAGCTGACCGTGCAGGAGAGGGAGTATGTGGCTTGTCTTGACTGCTGATCGTCCCGGTTTGGAATCTGAACTATGGATGCTGTAAATCAGACATCATAATCCTATGTCCTCTGCGTGTAGAGAGTCCCATGTGCAGGAACAGCAATAGCTCTCTTCACTAAATGATCACAAAATAGACAGATTTAATCCCCAAGGGTTAAGTGAAATTCTGTGTGGTTTACTAATAGGAAATCAGAACTACTGTCGCCTAATCCCTGCTCTCCCCTGGAGCTGCTGTGGACTTTGGGCAAGCAGCTCAAGTCCATTTTTTTGAACTTGGATACATAAAGTCAGGAACACAAAGACTTGGCCTTAGTGTTCATAGACTTCACTGGGAATGGTTGAGGTTCAGCAAATCAGGCCAGGTACTTAATCAACAGCTTGCTTTAAAAATACAGCTCCTGACTTGGTGTGCTTTAGAATTTGTCTCCATGCAAAAGTTATATTGCTTTAAGCACAGTGGTATAAAGTGATGCATCCCTCTGGCGGGAGATGGGGGCACAGTTACACCAGTCTGAAGGTGCATTATACTAGCATAGCTTAGTCCCTAACAGGAAAGGAAATACACTGTCACAGCGTAAGGTTCCCGTGTCCCCATATAACTGAATCTACAGAAGGGCTTGTTTCAGTTTAACTATAGTGGTGGAAACTTTCCTCATTGGTACAAACCCCACAAGTAAATCAGTACTCAGCATCCCCATTTGCAAAGCTGGTTTATCTGCTTCCCTGGAAGTTGTGAAGCTTAATTAAGATCCTTAAAAGGACAAAAGGTGCTACGTCAATTCAAGGGATTATTATAAATGTCAACGCGCTTTATACGCTCTGGCAAAATCATGCAAGGAATAATGAAACCTTTAAGTTCATGTTGCTCCCTAGCAAGATTCCTTATAGCGTCACGCTTCAGAATAGCAGCCATCAAGTGATGGCATTTGTCATCAAACGTGCATAATAATCTCCTTATTCAGAAGGAAGAGGCAGGGTGTGTCCCAGAGCTCCTGATCCTCCTCCTCATCAAGCCCTGCCATTTTCCTCTCAATTTCAGATGCTGAATACACCATAATCGGTGTCATTTCACAGGGCCTGATCCTGAGGTCTCATGACTTCCCCAGAAGCCTCTGGGTTGAGCCATTAGAAACAGCGTATGCTTTGAATGTGATTGGGCATTAACAATGTAATTGAATAGCAGCCTTTAACTCCCTGCAGGGGGGCTCCAAAGAGGATGGAGCTGGACTGCTCTCAGTGGTGACAGAACAAGGAGCAATGGGCTCAACTTGCAGCAAAGGGAAGTTTAGGTGAGATATTAGGAAGACTTTCTCATGCGGAGGGTGCTGAAGCACTGGAACAGGTTACCCAGAGAAGTTGTGGACTCTCCATCCTAGGAGGCTTTCAAGCCCTGGCTAGATGAAGCCCTAGCTGGGATGGGATGGTTGGGGATGGTCCTGCTTTAGATGACCTCCCAAGGTTCCTCCCAGCTCTCATTTTCTATGATTCTGTCTATGGAGAGTCAGGGCCATCCCACAAACTTCCTTGAAGTCCCTACAGTGCAGGGTCCGGGGCCATGAGCGATGGCAGGGGACTGGCGCTGTGAACTCTGCATCCTGCCAGGGCAGGGGAGGGCAAAATGCAGCTCACGGGCTGGATGCGGCCCGCCAGGCCATTCTATCCGGCCCATGGGGCACCTAAAAAATTTAGGAAATTAATATTTAATTTTAATATGCCTGTCACGCGACCCTCGATGGCTTGCCAAAACTCAGTAAGCGGCCCTCCGCCCAAAATAATTGCCCACCCCTGTGCCAGGGGCTCTGCCTACCCCAACAGCCACTCCAGGATCGGGGCCCAAACCTCACACACGCACACGCAATGCTAGGAGGCTGCTGGGGAAGGAGGCCGGTGCCCTGCACTGCATGTACAGGGCAGGACAACTCCAAAGGGAAGGACAGCGGTGCAACCCCCCCAGCTCCCCTGAGCCACAGGCTTGGGAGTGCAGGTGGCCGGTGTTTAACCAAGACAACCTAAAACCCAGCTGGGTCCAGCCAACCCCTCTGGAGGAGGGGCGGGCAAGTCCGGTTTCCAACCTGGTAGAGAGACAAGGCTGAAGTTGGTCCCTTATTCCTGGGTCCCGGTTCCTTATTCTTGGATAAGGAGCCAAGTTCAGCCTGGTTACAGAGAGCGGGGCCACTGCGGGCAAAACTCCTGCGGGAGAGGGGAAGGCAGGCAGCGGGGCGGCCAGCAGCCGGCAGGGTGGGAGTGGCCGTGCGGGGCCCGCCTGGGAGGGAGGGAGGGAGGGAGAGCCCGGGCCCCGGGGGCGAGCGCCAAGCAGGTGGAGGCTGGAGCCGGCGGCCCTGCGCGCGGGAGCTGCGGGGCAGAGGA